TTCCGTTGTAAACGTAGATACTTCTATGTTTTCCGTTTCAATTGCAGATTGAGTAGTTATAGCTTCAGTCGTTTGTGGAAAGATTTTGCTGCTTTCAGTTGCTGTTGATTCAGAAATATTTTCATTTTCTACTGTTGTTATTATCACATATTCAGTGGTCATCAGATCATCAATCTCTTTGTAATTAATTGTTGCGTCTAAAGATTCAGTGATTTCCTCAAGGGTAGTTGTAGCCGGATCAGATTCTTCATAATGAGTGGTTACATCATCTGAAATATTATTCAATACAGTGCTCGTATCTGTTTCGTTTACTAAGATCGTCGTTGATTCTGTACTGGAATAATTTAATGTATCTGAAGATGAATTTTGGTCAATTTCTTGGGATTTACCGGAAGTTGGTATTGTTACGTTATCTTCATCGTCCACAGAAACTTCTTCTACCTGTTCAGATTTATTAGGTAATTTTGTAGTCGTTTCCGGTACTTCAGTTGTTTCAAGATCAGATGTCTTGTCTCCTGTAACACTTAATCCAATTGTCGTCTGTTCAATTTCCGTATTGTAAATTGTCGATTGAATATCTGATTCTGTTGTAGATTCGACATTAATTTCAGGGATTGCTTCAGTATCCAAGTTTTCCTCGTTCAACAACTCTGCATCGATTTCGTCGTAATTGAACGTCTTCAAATACTCGTCGTATTTATCCTGGCTGAATTCGGTCGTCGTGATCTCTCCGTCTTCGATGCTCTCCTTCTCGTTATTCAACCAATCCTGTATGATCATGATTCCCTTCAACTTCTCATCGGAAAGATTCATCTTGAGCATTTCCTTGATGCTCACATCCTCTGTATCGTTGTTTGCGTAGGAGTCGTAATCGGCCATGGGCAGTGGTTCGTCGTCCAGGTCGAACTTATCGCCATCCAAATAGCCCTCGTCCAGCATATCCCAATCGTCGGTAATCTCCGCGCTGTTATTATCTGACCCTGCAATCGTTGCAGTTTCCGTAACGTTGTTATCTCGGTCAATCGCGTCAGTAGGTAATATTTCCGTTGCGTAAGTGGTTCGGTCGAGGAGAAGTGTTGACGAGTCCTCTTCCCCATCCGAGGAGGCTATTTGCGTGTTCACTTCGAATATAGCCGTTTTATTAATATCCGTTTGCTCTATGTTTGGCGGCTTATTCGTAAATAAAGCTTCCTCTTCCCCGACGCACCCATAAATATCTGAAATAAAAATGCATAATTCAGATGCAAAGGCAATATAAAAATAATTGTAATGCAAGTAATTGCATTTAAAAATAGTTCGACTTTACGACGAACACATGGCCAAGCTTTTCTCTTCCTTCTTCTTTATTTTTTTTTTGTACAATTCTCTTCTATTTTTTCTCTCTAAACTAAATGGAGTGGTAACAGACTGAGCACTTGAGAGTTTAAAACCGCCAATATTGTCGTCTTGTTTAGATACAAAATAACGTTCGCTTTCAAACTAGATATGCTTTGGCTTAAACAAAATATTATTTAAATATGCATCGTTTCATCACAAGTGAAATGCATTAATTTTTCGTTGTTTACCTGACTACTCGTATTACACGAGGACAAGTGTGGAATTCAAATGTTTTTACAAATGTTAATATATAGACAACGTTCGGATGATATTCGGTTACAGAATGTGGCAAAAATTTGTACGCCAGATGCGCTGAGACGTGACCAGAATTGAACATTTTTTTTTCCAATTTCCGGAAAACACTAGATTTACGACGAATGCAGTTTCGACAGAAACTATATTAACCCGAGGGGTAGAAGCGGCAAATCACATGTCCATTATTGATTTAACTCATCCGCATCTGTTACCATTATGTTACGAAATGCACTACATCAATCCAACTTCAACTTCGATAATTTCACTTAATGGTCCTTGCTTAACCATTAAATGGATCAATTTATAAACTCAACTGTAAATTGATTAATTTAAACTATTTCTGAATTAAATGATTATTCTTTCCACTCGAATAATTGAATTATATTTATAATTTTCAAAACTTCTTAAGCTTCTCCTTTTTTTAATTAATATGAACAACTTTTATATTATCTTTTACTAATTCAATTTTGTTACTGTAATATTAGTTTGAATTACTAAAATAGTGCATTTACAACAACTATTACATTTGAAGAACAAAAAAATGTTTCTTTACATCTCAAACTTAAATTGAAGAACTTTTAAACAGAACAACAAACAAAAATTGAATATTTCATTGAGTTGTTAAGAACAAACTAAATTGTAAACGTGTACTTACAAGTGATTATGAGGATCGAGAGCAACCACATATTGCACTTAAACGCTTGCATATCTGTTCGAACTGAAACTATCACTAGCACTAAACAGACTAAGATGGTTCTTAAGAAGATGCGAGTGCGGACTGAAATAAATAGCAGAAACCACCCTTGTTTTTATGAATGACCGGAGCGGCCGAAGATGTCCTGGATGGGGATAACGATGGTAGTGTGTCTTGGGGAGGGATGAAGGGAGGTACTCTTCCCGTCCTCTCTTAAGACCTTATGCAAATTAAGGACCCATAAAGTGGACACTAAATATCGGCACCAGAATGACGCCCACCGATAGAGACAGACCGTTCTTAAGTAACATCGGTTCTCTGTTATTATTATGCTTAATGTTGCTCTTTTGCAAATGCAAGCAATTTCTTTTATTTGTTCCGTGATGCAATTGCTATGCAGTAATCATTATTTCATACGTACATACACGAAATTGCAATATATATTTACATTTGTAACGTCCGAACTTAGTTAACAAATTTATTAAATTGATAAATACCCAAAAAAACATAGAAATATTTATAATTATTTATTAATTCACAATGAAAATGTTCAGGTATAATAACAGCTAATTCTAAATTTATTTTAATTACAAAGGATTGTATTCAACTCCAAATAGAAATACGTTTTTAATTATAATTATACTTTTACACTTAAAAAGAAATTACGTCTTTTTTTTTCAATTATTATAATGCTTAAATTTAATGGTTAAAATGACGTTAAGTAAATGTGCATATCGTTATTTTACGGAATCTCAACTAGTAATAGATTTATAGAAAACAGATGTTATCATAAACATGTCCGGAACATCGCAACACATCTTTGAAGAATTGCAAAGCTTACTTTGGAAAACCCTTTAATGTTCGATGCTTTTTGGATAAAAAAAATATATTAATTGTATAAATTATAATAAATACTTTCTTTTTGTATAATTTAACTGGTCAAATATCTTTCAATAATTAGTAAAGTTTTCTATGAACTATATTTTCATAAGAAATAAATTGTTTTAAACGTAAATGATATTGAATTTAGAGTTACCTTGCATTTAGCATAATAAGTGCAGGGGTTCTAAAAAAAAACACATCTGTTTAAAAATACTACACCCACCTCGAGTTTCGTTCGAAACGCCGCAGATCAAAAGGATGGAACAGATGCTACAAATGGAAGTCGTTCATTCATTAAATATTAAAATTTACAATGACACTTTGAATCTTTTGTAATTAATATTTGCAAACTAATAATTCCAAAGGAAACGAAATTGTGAAAACAAATCGATTCAATTTGCATTCAATTTATTAATAGATACAAATTTGTTGATGGCAACTAGCAAATGTTTATGCTGAGGCCGCCTTGATTTGAAATAGAGAAAATCATAGAGGCTAAAACAGCAGTTATAAATTTGATGATTTATCTTGAGTTCGTTACGAACAAAATTCTAAAACCTCTAACTTGTTTCAAGGAGATATAAATTTAGTGTCCAAACAAAAATTGATAATTTCTTTAATAGAAGATAATATTAATAAATACAGCAAAACCTTGCATAGTCTTAATATCCAGGACTGTTTGAAACCGGACTAATCGAGGACTTATAAAACCTCATAAAAATAAAGACTATATAAAGTGAAAAAAAAACAAATTATTTAGAATTTCACTATAGTGAATACGACTGAACTAATCCAATCCGCACTATACACTATGTATTGATTATAATATTTATAATTATAGCGTTTTCATTAAACTAAGTTTTAAAGTCAAATTATATAAATTTATGAAATCTTAAGTCGTCGATAACTCAGTTGGGTATTTCTGTATCCCAATGTTACCCTCACAAACTACAAAGGATGCGACGAAATATGTGATTTGAATTGCAACGCAATCTGAAAAACGTAAATACACTCTTCGACGAATCATCATATCTAAGAACTAAGACTAGCTTTAGAAAAAATATGTAATTTTCTGTATACAACAATACGTAATGCTATCATTTTAAAAGAAAAGAAACATTGTACTATTATAAGCTTTTATTTACATCAACTTAAAACTGTTAGTATTTTAACAAATGCTTTAAGTATTTTCTTGTTAATTATATACAACAAAACGTATAAACAGCAGTTCATTTTAGTGCGTAAAGATTTTAAAAAGTTCATAAAAATTCATATGTAAAGAAACTAACACAAACACAAAATAATTTATAAAAAGTTTAATGTTAGCTTGATTACAAAGTGATTTATATTATCTAATATCTTTTCGAGACTATTACATAATGATTTTTAAAATTTTTAAAATAAATATTTAAAATTATCAAAAAGTAATGATTTCTCGCATAATATTTTTTGGCAACAGTCTTCAAATGTATTTAATTGTTAAATAAATATAATAAAAAGATAATAAATGTGATTTATATCTTCTCATATTTATTTGTGAAAAATTATTCCATAAAATAAGTGTATGTTATTTACTAATATAAACATCATCTTATCATTTCCATAAAAATAACATCTGATACATTCGGATTGTGTATTTTTGTAAATGTTAAAATCGGCTTCAATCAGTCCGGATTCATTGCAGTTTGAAAATTTTAAAAAAAATATTAATTTATAGAAATAGAAACCAATTCTAATCAATTAGTAAACAAATGGTTTTAATGGTATCGATTTCAAACAATGCGGAACCGATTACTAACAGTACTAAGTGAGGTATTGTTGCACCAATACAGAATATGGGTTATGCGATAATGCAGGTTTCGGCGATTTTGTCTGATTTAAAATCTTCGGCTTATCTGAAAACAGAAGAAACACTCGTACAGAATGTCTGCTTCGGCGATAAAATCCGAAATTCGGAATAGAGAAAAAAAAATCAAATTACGTATCATGTGCACTCGATTATTTAAGATCCACAGCTGCGTTGTGCATTGTTCTATCAGAATTCGATAGCCACGAAATCAGCGGGTGTTTTTGAGAATAACCCTTCTCGCATTCAACGCAAACCTTTCGGTTGACAATAAAAGATCATTTGAAAACGTATTGACAGCTGCATTTCTGGTATTGCATCCGACTACTATATGTTTAAAGTAAATTGTTATGTCATGAGGCAATTTCTGCTTTGTACAGGAGAAAAAAAAGCCACCCCCTCGATTGTGAGCACGTGCGGTCAGAGGTAATTACTTGATACGATACGATTTCAATTTAAAATAATGAAAACAATATGTACACATGAAATGAAGGGGGTTTATGTCGATCGCGTGGATCCGGTAACGATTTTCGAAACCGCAAATTATGATACGGGGGTGAAATCATAATAATAATAATACACCGTTATTTGTCAACATTGAAGTTTCATTTCATTCAATGCGGATGTATTTGTTGGTGCGTTTACCGGTGAAACGGTTGGAAAGGTAAAGTACAAAATAATCTCAATTTCGAGTACTTCGGTTACCTGAACACCGTCGTATTGAGTTTTAATTGCCTACGTACCGAATTACGCTGTCTGCGGGGCGAAAAAGAAAACTGGCGAGACGCATTTTATGAGCGACTTATGTTCGTTCGGTTCGTTCTTCTAAACAATTTTTATTATCCTCTTGACTACAGAAAAGACCCTATTCTAATCCCGTCAAGTGGATAATTTAATGACGTATTGCTCTAAACACTAACTAATATATCTGCACCTACTTGGTACCGGATAACCACTTTATAATTTCTATTTTGTTAAATATATTTTAAATATTACATTTTCCCCAATAATCTTAAATTATATTCTGTTATTCTTTTAATTACTATTAGGTTTCAGTAGATATCATTAGCAATTTAACACAAAGCATTTAAACTATGCATATTTACTGAATGTAACTGATCTAAAGATTAACAAATTATCTCCGATTTGTACAATCATATTGTTACATTTTATTAACAGAATTAAATGTCATCAGTTCAATCTTCATATCAAGCGAAAGAAATAAATGTAAAGAGTATGGCGGATATATCCGCCGCGCATCCACAAAATACTAATAGACATTTTCTGTTTAATCTTATTTTCTTTAGATTTGTGGATTTCTTGATGTCACATCCAGACTTAAGATCTGATATATTATTATGAATGTGCAACTTGTCTAGGATAAGTTTTCTAAATATTTTGTTCATAACATCTGTAATGGTCATAAGCTGATGGGTTTTTAAGATACGAGTTTTTCATCTGATTTTGGTGTCTTTGGAATTATTATTATTAGCTAAATTACTTTCTCTTGAGATGGTGGTTTTGTCCCATGACCAACAATTTCCCAATAACTTTCAGACTGTTCCTTAAATAGTTCCATTAATAAAACTGCAATATTTGGAAGGGAAAACCTTCTATAATTATGATTATATAAATTTGTTTTATTTTATTAATTTGTTTATTGATGACTGAATTGTAGATGCAATTAAATTGAAATCAAAACATTGTTGCTAATTTGAATAATCAATATTAATTGACCTGCAAAACACAATTATTTTCGAGATAAACATTTACCTTTGATTTATTGATTTACTTCTATTTTTTTAGGAAATATGAATTTTGAAAGCAGAGATAATATCGAGTCTGCCATAAAACCTGTCTCCTATTGCCCAGCAAATTGTGGGTACTTGAAAACTCAGACGTTTGTCGGACTTTCTTTCCGGAGACACCGCACAATCTCATCTTGTAAATAAGTATTATATCCATCGTTCCTTATACTTTCCATTTCGAATACTATTGTATAAACAAACCTTTTTTTTTACAATACTTAACCTTTCATCTTCAATTTAAAACATCGCTGTTTTCGTATTTGTAAGATAACAAAACAAAAATGTAATCTAAAATAATTTCCTGAAATATATCAAAACAAATAAATATAATGAGATTGTTTTAAATCATAGACGTTAAGATTTTCAAATTTATTTTGTTTTTAACACATTTTGTTTACGCCTTGACGCAAGATGGTAGCACACATTAAAAATTTAACAAAAGTTACGTTACGTAACAGATAAACGACGTTTTTTTCGAGTTTTTTTTCAGTTTTTCGTGAATTTCTTGACAACCCTTTAAGACAATTATATCATCGTGTGAAAGCTGAATATCTCTCCTTTCCAACGCGCCTACAATCATCATTGTGCTGTCAGCGACTCGCCTGCTATAAGCTGTAGAACTTTTTTTTCGTATAATTTTTCAGTTTTTACAGTGAATTTCTCGACAACCCCTTAAGATAATTACATTAATGACCACTCGTATGAAAGCTGAATATCTCACCTTTCCAACAAGCCTACATGCATCTTAGTGCTGTCATCGAGTCGTCTGCTATGAACAGTTGAAATTGAAAAAAAAAAACACATACTTAAAGTTTTATACGTAACAGAGAAACAACGGTTTTCTCGTTATTTTTTCCAGTTTGTTCGGTTTTTCGTGAATTTCTCGACAATCCCTTGAGATAATTACATCATCGACCACTCGTATGAAAGCTGAATATCTCACCTTTCCAATGAGCATAATTACATCTTCGTCCTGTCATCGAGTCTTCTGCTAAAAACTGCAGAAATTAGAATTAGATGTGATATGACAATTTTATTGTCATATCATCTTCAATTTACTTGAGTTTGCAACATTTCTAATCACCCATTCAACTTGTATCAACAACCAACATTGTTTAACTTGTACAAATAGTCAAATGTAAAATATTTAATACATATATTTCAATATTTGCTTTTATTTAATTCTCTTATCCTTTCATATCATCAGTTTATGTTTGCTTATCAGCGCTTATAATAAGGCAATGATAAACATTATTTATTAATTTGTTTGATTAAAGATTTAAATATTTGTAAGATACCAATTGATATGACAACAAATGTTTCTATTAAACAAGAATCATAGATTTCGAAAACGCTAAGATTCTGATACTAGGAAACAGTTTAATTTGAGAAACCTTTCGGTTGATAATTTTTGTAAACTCGAGACGAATGATTCAAAATGTAACATTAATAATTGCGTGACTTGGGCTATAATGACGGCGATAATTTAAACATAAATACATGAGCATGATGGGCGCCGAACAATGGGCGCCGCCGCATGTATGGGGCGCATTTTTTTTTAAATTGATATCGCTATCGAACAATGCACGCCGCGTGCATGCTGCGCTTTTTATTTTTATATATATAGAAAATCACCGTCGGGCAACAATACGAGGGGAGCACATTTATATTTGGGTAGAAAACTGAACAATAGTTGCGTGCACGAAACCCAAATTTATTTATCTGCAAAAAAAAAACGGGAAAATTAGTTGGAAAAATCAATTGTTTTTCATAGGTAGCTAGATTAAATTATATAAGTTCAATGATATAATATTTACTGCTGCTTGTGTATTTTACATGAATCAGCTTCTAGTGGACAACAAATTTAATATATGTGTTTGTTTGTACGCTTTTTAATCAATAACTATATGACTAAGAGGAATATCAAACATTAGTCATCTAACCCAGTGGTCCCCAACCCCCCTGTCCGTGGATCAAATGGGCCGCCCAAGGAACATTCAATTATTTCCATTTGATTTTAACTAGAATCTAGTGAAAATCCGGTCCGCGGCGATAAAAAGGTTGGGGAGCACTGATCGAACCCATTTAAACAAGATAATTAGAAAACTTCGAGCAGGCTGCGACATTTGGTGATAAACATTAGATAAACAAATATTGTTTCTTTTGTTTTGTTAATGACGGATAAAAATAAATTTAAATGTTGATATATTGTTATACTAATATCTTCAATATCAGTTTAATATAAATTAATCGATAAATTATCGACCAAAGTCTTTCCGCCTAACAATAGATTGAATTTTGGTTACAGAATCACACTGTATATATTAAATTTGAACGTGTACATGTAAAAGAAGTTGCCTAACTACAATCATGTTTACATTTTAGTTGGAGAATTGTCTGTTTCCAATTGGATTTTTGATATTTCTTTACTGCGGGTCGTTGAAATAGATTTGTTTTTGGATATGAATGGTAGTTTGATGTAAATAATACAAGACGAGAGTATATATTTGTGGATTTGTTTGATATTGCGGTCAATGTAATACGAGCTTGTTGTAATGAAAAATGAAACACTAGATGCAGTTCGAATTGCAACTGGAGAAAGAGTAATTGTAATTTAGACGCGTTAGCAAATGCAGTCGTATAGGGATTAAGTCGTATGCGAACGATATTTCTGTATAATTATAGATTAGAATAATCGTAGTCGGCGGTGGCGGTATGTAGCAATCAGGAGAACGCAGACAGCGCCCCGTAGCGGCGCCGCGGTTCACCGCCTGACGAGAAACGTAGATATTCTCGGCCTCACGACCATTTTTGATGGTGATTGTGTGTGAAAGAGCATGGAGGAAAGTCAGAAAATATGGTGTAACTAAGTGGATTCTGTGGTTCGTGCGGGTCTCCTAGTGTGGACAAAATGTGTATGAACGTGTGTATATAGTAATGTATATATGGAAATTGATGCGAGACTCTGTTAGCTGCGAAACGCGTATTAACATAACATTTAGCTTTCAAGATGGCTGGAAACTGAAGGACTTCTTTGTCCCCCTGATGACAGTATGATATTGCGTTCGTTTATGGCAGAGCACGTTATTGAAAGGTAAATATCCGATTTCCACGTCTATCTAAAAAGAAACCGTAACGTTTTCCATTTTGTCATCATAATAATAAACCGAATTACGGCAGACATCTTGCTGAACCTCCCAACATTGTTGCCAGCCGTGTAGTTAGTTAGTATATATGCACATAGCCTCCTCAGATCAGATATTCACGCTGCTAAATATTTGGTAATAGTTTACCGAAACTAAGCGTATGGCATACACATATCCTTCAACCACGTAGTCCAATGTCATTTTACATAGTTGGTCACGAATAACATTGAGCTCTTGGTCAACGTTCACGTGCTTGTTTGGTGTTTATTCATCCACAAGAACTCGCATATCCTCTGCAATCGAAAGATCGTATTGATGAACTGTACTAATTACTTATTTGCATGCAGCGAATTCCGGTCAAGTCGCGATGCATGTGTCATTCGGGTTTGTTTCAACTATTTCGAGCAACAGGTTGATATGCATCATATCTCTCTCTCTGACACACACACTCGCACACACTCAATATGGTCATTACAAATGGGGCGTTCCATTTTCATATAATCCCATATCCATTCCCCGAGATTCCAAGGATCCACGCAAAAACAAACAGAACAATCTTAACGATCCTGTTTATATCTTCTGCACAGTGCGTATTTAGAAACTGTTCCAATTATCATTGCTGCTCGCACATTTAGCAGTATGCGAATAGAAAGTTTGCAAATAACTTTTTGGCCAGCAATCTCGCAAAGAAAACAAAACGGATTCGGTTTCATAACAACAACAACAGGGAAAAAATTGTGATATTTTTCAAAATCGGCAACGCTGGAACCTCAATTGTCGTAATAACGAAATCTGCCGCGAACTCTGTGGCCTCGTATTGTTGACGTGTTTTTGTTACCTTATTGCGCATTATATGAAAACATGTTTTAGACGCTTGATTTTTAGTTCATTGGCCATTATTTTACATAACACCTTGAGACTATTAGTTCAAGTGCCTACATATATAAATATGAAAAAAAAGGAACCTTCCACTTTTTTTTTTGCGCACTAATTGCATATATAGGATAGGTTTCTATTCAATTGCGAATTAGTTCCATGTTCATTGTAAATGTACAACTGCAATTAATCAAATACACATTCGTCTCTATAAAAATGTAATACGTTTTCCTTCATACACTGATTACAAGTGGCACAATTGCAATATTTACTTTTCTTGCTTAATTAAATATGGAACTTAAGTAGACTATTGTAAATAGGTTAATTTACTTAACAAAGGTAAACATTTGCAAGTAATTCGCTAATGTACAATGTAAAGGTCAGAAATGCCTAATATTGACAAGGTCTGCTATTCTCTTATATTATATTCATTTAATTTCTGCGAAATCTACAATTATCGATTGTTTTTCCTTGAAATTCAATGCTGTGAAATTAGAATTCCTTTCAACTTAATTAGTTTACACATTCAGAATATTTAATCCATAAATTATTTGTTTAAATGTTTATGAAATTAAAACGTAATCTAAACTTTTAAACTACTAAAAGAATAGGTCGATAGCCCGTTGACCCAAATAAGGGCTAATTGTAAATACAAAATTAGTGAAAATTAAGTTTATAATATTCACAAGCATTGAGTGTACAGTGGAACCTCGCTTAACGAACTAATGTAAATTAGCATTGTAAATGATGCAATCCGGGACTTCTCTTCTTATCGTCACTCGTTATGCAAAACGTTGCTCTTTAAGCGAGTCATTTTTTCCTACAATTCATTTTCAAATAGTCAGATTTGAAGTGTTCAGTAAAACTATCATAATCTAGATCAGGGTTTCCCAAACTATGGAAAGTTAATAGATGTTCCGTGAAAACCTGGAATGAAATAATTACAAAAATAAATAATGAATGTTTTTCCTCATGTTTTAAATTTTATTGATTATGTGTATATTACCTACCCTAATTATTACCTTTGCTTGAAAACTTCAGCATTTACGTGAAGTGTTCGGTTGTAGGAAAAGTTTGGGAAACCCTGATCTAGTCCCAAGGGGTTGTCAACTTGTTTGTCACGTCACGTTCGAAATAATCACATTTTTCATTATTCGCGATCGACCAAAAGTATTGAGTAACTATTTTAATTATAATGAAATTTGTCCTTATACCCTTTATACCATCTATATTGTTTCATGCTTATAGTCTCAAAATAAATATTCGTTAATTTTACTGCAAAAGATTAATAATTTATAGAATGCATATATTTTTTATTACTTATATTTTAAATGGGGTCAAAAGAAATACGTTTTTGAGAAAAGTTACATAACAGTGTACACTTTGCATGTGATGTCCATTATGTAACATTTTAAAAAATAATATTTCTTGCCTTAAGTCATTGACCGAAGTCTTTCATCATTCAATTTTATATTTTGGGATTTCCTACCGATATTGTTTGCAATGAAAACGTTTGATATTGATTTCTATAAAAATTAAATTTAAAAATATACTAAAATAGATTTGCCTTTGTACAGTTAATACAAACAAAAGTTATATTTGTCAATTCATGAAGATACTATCAAACAGCGTTATTTCTCTCATATTTTAACTGATATTGCAAATATGTATGGATATTCGCTGCAATCGATTTTAATATTGACAAATTGTATATTGTTAATTAATTCTACATTTTGATATATTTAATAATAATTTACTTATAATTTCTACTAAAGCTAAAATTCTTTGAGATGACTATTATATTTTTTTTATTGGCAACTTACCACAAACTTGGAAGCCATTTATTCGGTTTAACAGGTCGAGTTACTTCATTGATAAAAGAAGATTAGTATTGTTCGAAACATTAATTGGATATTGTAATAAGGTTTCGAGTGTGATAGACGGATTTCCCTGTAATATTATTGGCACCGAAATCAAAATAAATCTAAATATAGAACGGTATTTTGTTGCATCTACAATAACCTAAACGATGATTTCAATCTGTATCTATCTATATATGTATATAATATGGGATTTCGATGCAACGTGAATGAAAGTAACAGAAATAAGTTCGCGCGAATGAACTTGCCAGATTTACTTCGACTCCTCGGTAATTGTTTACACCGGAGCGTAGGTATTTTTAGGCCAAGATCTCTTCCATTTTCATAAATTACCTAAAATGGGCATGCGCACAAACTTTGAATAAACTACCTCTTTTCTTCATGACGAGGGGGGTATTATTAAATTTAGCCAACCTTAAAGGTCCTGTACATTCTTGGAAATGTAATTCAGCAGTGGTCATTATGCATATTGTTAAATACATAATTCTGGTAATTTCTTCTAAAAATTCTCAGGAAAATAGATCTTAAAACTACCCTCTCCCCACCGTGCAGGTACTAAAAGTGTATTAAATTGTGTGTTTTGACTTTATTTTCAGGGAATGCATGACATGTTCATCCACTCCCAACAGTTGGTCACAAACAACTACAGCAGTGGTGCAGTACAATCGAAGAAGCGCAAAGCAACAGATCAGTATAACAGTATTAACGCTGAACAATTTGTGTCTCAAAACTCAGCATATTCTCTGAGCCAGGCTAATGCGAATGATGTTAACAGTAGTCATTATCAACAGCCAAGCGTACGATCATCTGCCATCAAATTGTTAGACTCCTACCAACGCTGTAACCAAAAGGTAATTATATATATTTCAATATTGATTGCATAGTGCTGATGATTAAATATTTTGTGTTGTCTGATACAGCGTAAGGCCTGGTCATCTGAAGGTAATGGTGATTGTGGTCAAGCCGGAGGAGTTATCACCGAAAATACAAGTACAACCGTCACTACGGCTCACAGCAAAGTCAACGCGGCCCCCGGGGCCAATCCCCAGCCGCAAGGTAAGCGTAAGTTCTTTCAAATTTCCTCTTTGCTTAACAGTAGATAGAAACGTAGAAATAAACTACTGAATATGCTAGTTTATTTTTAAGTTGAAAAAATTGTAATATTAGTTGCTTTTGAATGCTAATTATTAGTTATTGTTTTTGATATTTGTTACTGCTTAGTAGGCAAGCTCAAGTCAACATTATTTTAAAAAAACAAGTATCCTCAATACTCAAAATCAATATAACAAAAAATAAGTAAACATATGCTAAGAAAATATAAAAAAAAAGTTTTATTTGTAAACATTCACAATTTTAATAATATTGATGAATTAGATCTTGAGAGAATTAAATAACAATGATATAATTTTAGGGTCGGGGAGTGGCGCCGATGGGGATTACCAGCTTGTGCAACATGAAGTTTTGTATTCTATGACGAATCAATATGAAGTTTTGGAGTTTCTGGGCAGAGGAACATTCGGCCAAGTAGTGAAATGCTGGAAGAAAGGCACCAATGAAATCGTTGCAATCAAAATATTAAAGAATCACCCTTCGTACGCTAGACAGGTAAATAAACAGATTATAGTTTAATTGTAAGGTGTATGTGATACAGTGATTTTCGTTTACAGGGGCAAATAGAAGTTAGTATTTTATCTAGATTAAGTCAAGAAAATGCAGATGAGTTCAACTTTGTTCGTGCCTATGAGTGTTTTCAACACAAAAATCACACCTGCCTTGTATTTGAAATGTTGGAGCAGAATCTCTATGATTTCCTTAAACAGAATAAGTTCAGTCCACTGCCATTAAAATATATTCGACCAATTCTGCAACAAGTATTGACTGCATTGCTGAAACTAAAGGTAAGCATATTTTGAATTATTAATAGTTCAATAATTTATGTTTTTTGTTTTTTTTTTTGAAAATTTTAGCAACTAGGTCTAATACATGCAGATTTGAAGCCTGAAAATATCATGTTAGTAGATCCAGTGCGTCAGCCTTATCGTGTAAAAGTGATTGATTTTGGAAGCGCTAGCCATGTTAGCAAAGCAGTCTGTAATACTTATCTGCAATCGCGTTACTATCGTGCACCCGAAATTATTCTTGGCTTACCGTTCTGCGAAGCAATCGATATGTGGTCTTTGGGATGCGTAGTGGCTGAATTATTTCTGGGTTGGCCTCTATACCCAGGTTCATCAGAGTACGATCAGATACGTTACATAAGCCAAACACAAGGACTTCCGACAGAGCATATGCTAAACAATGCATCGAAAACGACAAAATTCTTCTACAGGGATATGGAAAGTACATATCCTTTCTGGAGATTGAAAACACCTGAGGAACATGAAGCCGAGACCGGCATAAAATCCAAGGAGGCTAGAAAGTATATATTCAATTGTTTGGACGATATTGGACAAGTGAATGTTCCGACGGATCTTGAAGGAGGACAACTGCTGGCGGAAAAAGTCGATAGGAAAGAATTTATAGATCTTCTTAAGAGGATGCTGACTATGGACCAGGTAGCAATATTTACTCCAATTATACATTGATGATCAAGCATCATGTGAAGAGCAGTAGATAATTTTTGTTTGTTTTTTTATTGTAGGAACGTAGAACAACACCGGGAGAAGCACTGAATCATCCATTTGTACGACTGGCTCATTTGGTTGACTACGCGCATTGCAACAATGTGAAGGCCAGCGTACAAATGATGGAAGTATGCAGAAGAAACGATTTTAATAATACGTCTTCGTCCAATCATCATCAGACGGCACAACAAGCGCCTTCTTTGGTTGCTAATTTCGTTCCTAGTTCTAATGGGAACGTTACTTTCACCATTAACAACCAATTGACTAACCAGGTACAACGACTCGTTAGGGATAGACCAGGTTACGATAATTTGGCATATCAAATATACAATGGACGTCCTGTCGGTAGACAATACTCGACAAGTAGCAGGACTGATCCTTTCCAACATCAACTAGTATCGAGCATCCTGTGCCCTGCTGGTTATCAGGGAATGGGCGGATCACCAGCTAAACATGTAACTGTGGTCCAACAGCCTTCGTTACAAATACAACCACCGATATTGAGCCAGCCTGGTCAACAGCAGTACGTACCAGTTAGTGTTGTGGAACCTAATGGAAGACAAATGCTTCTAACTAATGCGGTGCAAACGTCGTGGCCGACCAACCGACAAATGGCTATAGTTCCATCTTGGCAACAAATACCGTCGCAACATGCAACTATACAACAGCCCATTTTGTCGGATGCCACTGATTGGGGAAGACCGTTACTTGTCGATTCATCTGCTATACTTCAAGAACAGAGGCCCGTATTTCCAGTCGATGTTGCTACTGAAGTTTATAATCAACCAATTGTGGAACATCCCAATGGTTCGTGGTCATCAACTAAAAGAAGCTCCAAAAATCATCTTCCACAATCGACACATCATGGTCATCATCTTATGGTCCCCACTCATCATAGATCGCAACACGATAAGAAGGAGCAAACACAACTTAGCCCAGTCAAGAAGCGTGTTAAAGAGAGTACACCGCCGTCGGATCAATCTTATGCACAACATTCCAGGAGAAATCATAGTCCTATAAATAACTGGCACCATACTCAAGTACATGTAAGTCCAATTGGAGACCCAATTCGAAAGGCGAATCATTCTTTGCTTATTACGTTCTTCTGTTCCAGACTAAACAAGAACCTAGTAGCGGGCGCCAACATACTATTACTATAAATGACACACCTTCGCCAGCCGTCTCGGTGATTACCATTTCGGATAGTGAAGATGAAGGTTCGAATCAAAAGAAACCTGTTATTCAGAGCACAGTCCACGCTAATGACAATGTTAACATTAATAGAAAAAATGTTATTAGTTGTGTCAGCGTAGGCGATAGCGACAATGACGATCGCAAGAGCCCGGCGAAGGTAATCATCAATTATTTCAAAATTTTGTTTAAAATAATATTTACATTTGAAAAACTTTCAGTTACAGATTCCACAATCCTATCAACATGTTATAAAGAACGAGCCGTCGCAGAATCCGAACATAAATTATTCAGTTTCGCAATCGCGCAAGAATCGATTGCTGGCGAAAGCTCAAACCGAATGCATGTTGAATTTACCGACGAAACAGGAACCAGGCACCGATTATCAGAATCAAACGCATCGGTCCGATTACATGCAGAATTGTGGATCCACGTGTAAAGAGCCGATCGGCCAAAACTATCAGTATGCAAATAATTCGGTTGCCGGTCACGGTGGTCAGGATCAGCACATCATATATTCTGGCGATAAGAGGGTGTCCTGGGCAGCCCCCACCGGGCACGCGTCAAGTTCGCACAGTGGGAACAGCAGGCGGCATTCTGCGGTGCCGGTCGTAAACCTGCGCGATTTCAATATTCAGCCGCAAGGGCATAAGGATTATATACAGCCACCTGCAGCTCACACTACTAGGGATATCGGGATTTCAAGGGATCAACATTTGTTGGCTTCTGGGAAGAACTGGGGACCACAAACTATACATCAAGGGTATAGGTATGTACATTTTTAATTAACAACTAGTTAATTTCTTAACTAAATGAGCGTATCTGTAATCATATATGTTTTATAATTGTTTGTAGACATTCGAATGCCCATCTATCACCGCAACCATTGACCGGTGCTCCAAGATTATCTCCGCAACATCCTCTAGCTGCAGCTGGTCAGCCCCTCTACCATCAGACGGCGGAGCTGTACAGGCGGCCAGCAGTTTACGTGACGACCACCCAACCCGCCTATATACCTACGACCCATCAAGTACCAACGGGGTGAGTAAAAATATCGTACATACTATATATCTAATTGGTAGATGTGTTGGGTTTGGTTGCATAAACATTAAACCAAAGTGGCAGCTTTATTTGTATTGTTTTTTGGTTTGCTTTATTTTCAGCATACCTACTTATACTCCCACCAGAAAACGAAAGTTGTCTGCGGCCGAGGTTTCGGAATTTTTTGAAAATTTGTGAGACCCAGTGCATAAATTAACAAAACACAAACATTACCTATGAAATTTTCGAGTCTCCCCTCTCTCGAAGTATTTAATTTTGTATTTAATTATCTCATTTAATAAGTTTGTAATTATAGACAAATATTCTTACTTTAGGGATATATATATATATATTCAATGTATATTTATTTTATTTTTTTTTAAATGGATGAACAAAAAGAATGCCACGTGTTGCTTTTAACTTAATTATTATTATAATTTCACTAGAGAAGGGTGTTTTCATTTTCTTTTTCTTTTTTCTCATTTGAATTTACTTTATTAATGTTATTAATTGATAATATTTGCCTTAGATATTAATAAATAAATTTGGACTATATTTTCTTAACCTGTATTTAGTTTTTTAACATTTAATATACTAATTACTCTGAAGAACACCGAAAAGAAAAACAGAACATCACACGAGATATACTAAATGCAATAATGGAATTGTAATTATCTCTTTAATATTAGTTTCTATATCGAATAAATTTCCTATAATCAAATCTATATATCTACTGTTATTAATATTCTCGAACTGTACACAGTTTTTTTTGTAACCTATATTTTCTTTTACAATAGTTTTTTTTTTTCTTCTTTAAATCTTAAGTAATACAATTTCCATTTGATTTTTATTTCCCCTTTGTTTTTATACCGTGATTAGTGCAAACTAGATCAACAATGTATTATTAGGTATTAATGAAAGTTTTTTTAGGTACTTTTTTAACCAATGAATTATTTTGATTTGGAATTTTTCACGTTAATTCTGGTTTTGGTCATTATTTTGAAATTTTCCAATTGAAAATAATTGGGCTATTCCCAAATTCCAATTTAATTTAACTTAACAATTTATTACATCCCTTATGTCCCATTATTGAATTATTGAAGAAAAAATAATAAAAATCATTGCCAAATACTGTTGTTGTTACTATTCTGTTAGACAAATCGAATGGAAATGTATCGAACTTTATTTAGCAGAAAAGATTGAACACTGCATTAAAAAAGAAATTTAAGAAAAGAAAACAAAAATGCTTATTTTACCTGCACCTGATTAACTCTCTTTAGCTTATTAAGTAATTATGATATAATGATAATAATAATGATAATTGCAAATTTGAAAGTGTTTAATATATGAAAGTAATGTTAAATTGCAGTCGTCAAATACCGCCACCTGCTCACCACGCAAGTGCAAGACCGGTACTAGCAAATCATCCGGGTCATCCTTTGCCGGCCCACATGCAATTTCCATCTCATGCCCAAGTCGCAGCAGCCTCTTACGGATTCGCACCACTGAGTCCAGCGAAAAGCCATCAATACCAAGCGAGTCTCTGGTTCGCCGAATAATTGCGAAACCGCAAAAGATACGCGTAATTCTATATATATATATATGAAGATAAGTATACGTTTATTTTCATCATCCTACACAACACTGCGTTTCGATTGAATTCAAACCGAACGAAGTTCCAATTAATCAACAGCAACAGCATACTACTTATCACACTATATGTCTGTCGTCTCTATGTTATTATTATTAGTATTTTAAATGATTGATTCGTTCGGGACTTTTTGAACTGGTGATTGAAAGTAGAGTATTATTATGATTATGTACATACTGAAGAAACGGAAATTAGTCATCGTGCAATTTGCAACAATATATTTTGATTATGTTTGATAAATATTATAAGAACATTGAGCTTTTCACACTAGAAATACTAATTATTAAAAAAATTGCACGTGGAAAGCTCTATTTTATTTCGAAACAAATCTAACTTTGTTTGATATAATACACGTATATATATATAAATAGTGGTTTAGAGATATCAAACGATTTATATTTTTGAATATAGAAGATTATAAAAGTAAAGAAACTAATTTTATGGGTTTACCTTAGTTCGTTGAATATTACTATGTTACTTTTTAGAGTATCTTAACTTATTGAAGAAAGAAAAGAAAGCAAAAAATATATATATATATAATATATAAAAAGAAACTTAAATACTGCCTTCCTGAAAACAATAGTACATAGTTGAAAGAGCACTTACAGTAGCTTACTTGTGTGGTTTTGGCTGTTATTATAATAATATTTGTATATAGAATTATTTAATTGTTTTTGCATTTCTTCTTAATATTAATATTATTGTTTCATTTTCTCAAGTTAATAATTTTATAAAATAACAATTCGATTAGGATTTATACCTTTTATTTAATTCTTTGGTGTGTTATGATCAATCAACAGTTTTTGTTAGCTTAAGTTGTATATTTGTATGTTTACTACTACTATTATTATTATTGCTGTTTACTATTTTATTCTATTCTATTATCGTTTATCGTGGTTTACATCCACATTCTCTCTCTATCTCTCAATTTGATTTGAGATTTGGATTTTTAAGTAGATATCAGGAAAGAAGATATAACAATGATGTGCCTGTTAAATTTAAATTGTGTATGACCCTCCGATCGTACTCTATATTGACTTTAAAGCACTTTGTTTATAATGAATATGAAATATAAACATACGTTTTTAACAGGGAATTATAAATATATTAATATTATTGTCAATGGAGTAACGGTGTTAGATGTGATATTTAATTAGACAAGAAAAAGTAAAAAAAAAATTAATCATTTTAACGTGTAAATATCGCCTATATATTATATTATAAATATATATTCCGTCAAATTCATTTGGGAAATTAAGAAAGGTTTAAAAAGCTATATATATTGAATTTGTCGGGTTATTTTTAAGTAAAATACAAATAATTAATGTACTAATACCTATGACTCTAGTGAGTAGAGTTTCGATTGATGGTAGGCGTACAAAAAAAATATATTAACAAGATATATATATATAATAATGATAATAAAAAAAATATAATATTTTTGGATCATGTAGGATAGATTTTTGGGGTAGTTTACGATTGAATATTCAGGTGTCTACATTAACAAAGTAAAACAAACAAAAAAAATGAAATGGTAACTAGATGTATAAATATATTTAATCACTGATGCTGTCCAAAAGAAAAGTAAACTAATTTAATCGCGTTGCATATGTCGATGTTACTATCTACGTGTACTTTTTGTGAGGTTCCTCTAAATGTAATTAACACTTGTTTTCTTTTTTTTTTATATAAATATATATATAATATCTATGGTATAAATGGAGATAAAAGAAAAGTTATGAATTTAAAAAAAAAGTAAAGTATATAAATAAATATAATCTTGAATAATTCTGATGAGCAGTTGCATTATTCAAAGTAAAAATAATAATATTAATCAACCAGCCTTATCAAGAACAATATATGTAATAGAAGTAGAACTTAATGTGTTGCCTTTTGAGAGACGAAAAACAAACAACAAATAGAGAACGGGCTAGTTTATATTCTCTCTTTATTTCTGTAATATAGTAATAGTTGTTAGGGTAGTATATGCACAGGGTGATTTTTAACACTAAAGTAAATACAGTGGATGCATCGAATTTGCTTCGTTTGATTGTCTCTTCTTTTTTTTTCATTCTCTGTTAGCCTTACGTTTCTAAGACTGGCCTAAATAATATTAATAATTAATCCACAATTATTTGCATGTATCATATATACACTATGATGAATAATCGCTTTAATTCTCTTGTATTATCACCACTCAAGTGAATTGTAACAAATTGCATTTTTCTTGTTTGTTGTTTAATTGAAAATGTGTATTATTTAATTACTTACGTTTTACGCACTTTATATTAGTCTAATTGTACTGTATTTTGTATTGAACGTTGTTTAAAATTAGAACTGATGCGTTTTAGAGCTTCCGACATAGTTTACTTATAGAGTGCCAAAATACGTTAGATATGCCCGAGCCGTGTTAAAATTAGCAGCAACTTCAACTTTGAGTGGTCTTAATACAAACAAAATATACACACAGTTATCATATTATTCGAAAAGGTGAAATATATATAACGTAGAATTTAAATAGAAATTCTCTCTAATAAGACGTAGTTGATATGTTTATACAGTGACACAATATTAGGACATTGGGGTTTTGTAGTTTTTATAATCTTATTTATTATTATTAGTTACCATACCATACTAATTCGTATATATATATATTATATTTTTCTTTTTTAATTAACCGACTGCGTTACTATTACGGTGTTTGTACAATTTCGTTTTCTCTGTATTGTATTTTTTTTGTTGTTTGTAATCTTAACAGTCGATTGTAAAATCCAAAAGCAAAGATACGGATGTTTCCCAATACAAATGTAATACTAATAATCTAAACAGATCTACAAGGCTGCACTACATATTTAGCGTTAGTTGATGAAAGTTGAAACAAAAAAAAAGTTTTATTAATTGCGGTTTATGAAGAATGTTTAGTGCGTACACAAGACTGGTGTAGTTGATGTCAATATATATATAGCTAATAGTTGGGTGTGTGCACCTGTTCTTTTGTTTCTTTTTTTTTTTTTTTGGTAATAGGCTACTATAGTCATATAATATTGTATATTGTTATATAAATATTAATATATATTGTAACTATTTTTTTTATATCTATGTATCTAAATATTAATAATAATAATAATACCTATAGTGAACGGAATGTTAGTCCTAAATGTTTGATTATACGATGGAAGTGTTAAAAAATGAATTGGACAGTATGTATTTATATCTAAATGAGTTTCGTCTTTGCGAGAAGAGTAAAAAGTAAACTTTGCAAATTCATAGTGAAATCTATCTATAAAATGTGATAAACAATATAAAGATATATATATATATAGAAAGATATATAAGCACGTGTAAAATATTTAAATATAACTTTTTGTGAAGGATCAATAATTCTTATTATTATTATTTTTTTTTATATATATATATTATATAACAGATGAACGGATGTTATTAATTGGTTTTATGGCTTGTGTGAAATTTATAAATATATATATTTAAGTACAAAATAAACAACAACAACAACAAAAAAAAGATTTATATATATTATAAATATAACTGAAACTTTCATGTTTTATATATATTCAATATATTTCTATATATAGAGCGTAGCATAAATGTTAACAATCATAGTAACTGGTATTAAAATGATGTTTTTGTTTTTTCCTCCCTCTCTACGCAAACTTGATTATATATGATATATGTACGAGGATCTGATGTTTCGCATTGTTAGACAATCTGTAACTGTGTAGAAATAGTCGATGATAGAGCATTCGTGTAACTAGTTTCATTTCGTGTTGGTCCTTAAACCGCTTGCTTTTCAGTCTGTCCAAAAAGAAAAACTGCGACCTTTACATATCTTAAAGAAATCAATTTAGTTTTTTTTTTTTAATTATTCGTTTCCCACTCGTCCCTCTACCAAATATTATATTCGACTGCAGCACACACACATACAATAAGAGGACTGTCTTGTATTATACCTGCCACAATTAACGTTAGTTGGACCAAGTAAAATTTGTAACACTCGTAAACAAACAAAATAAAAAAAATATATATATGTAATCGTAATCTGTATAATAAATAGTACGGTTTACTTAACTGTAACCGATATTGTTCTCTCGTTATTTATTTAAAAAAAAAACAATGTGATTTGGCCTGACATTTATATAACAGTACGTTAAAAATCTATGTGAAGAAATTTAATATGTGTACATCTAAATAGTTTGCAATGCGTTGCGTGTATTATAGTGAATATATATATATATATATATATATTAAAAAAAAAGAAGAAAAAAATTATTAAAACAATATGTGAAAAATAAATTGTATGAGATTAAGCTTAATTAAGCGTAGATTTTTGTAATTACATTTCCTTTTTTTTTTGGTTTCATTTTAGTAAAGTCTTAATATTTTTTTGTCAAAAACATGATTTACAAACCAAGAAATAAACAGAACCTATATAGATATATGGAAATTGTATTTATGTACTTGTCTTAATAGCACATACAAGGTAAGACTTCTTTATGTACATTTTGGCATAAATAAATAGTCAATCTATTAAAAAAAAAAATACTGTTTGTTTTTTCTTTACCTATCCTCAAATTCCTTGACGTTACATTTCAGGAAAATACAGCTATCTTGCGACTTACAATGGGTTGTTCGTAAGTCGAATTTGTTCGTAAGTCGGGGGAATTTCAAAATATACTTATTTTATCACACTTTATCATGGTTTTTACTTTTATATATGTTAAATTTCGTATTTCTGACTGTATAAATTTGATAAAATAGATTAAAATAAACAAAATACTTTTCAATGTAGACATCACAATTAGTTAATACATCTTCCACAAATATTATTAAAGAAATTATCAATTTTAGTTTGGACATTAAAACTTGTAACAAGTTAGAGTTTTGTTCGTAAGTCGGTTGATACCGGTATTCTGGATGTAAGACCGACGAACTCAAGAGAAATCATCAAATTTATAACTGCTGTTATATGATTTTCTCTATTTCAAATCAAGTGGGCCTCAGCATAAACATTTGCTAGTTGCCATCAACAAATTTGTCTAAGCACTCCTAATTTAAGTCACATCTCACTACTTGAAAAAGAAAATCAAGCGATTTAGGTGTGTAATAATACTTTGAAAGATGGAAAAACATAGTTATTACTCTTTGTTCTAAACAATAACTTCGAGAATACCCGAATACTCTTAGCAAAATCCATCTGGAATGCAAAAAGCTTTCTAGGCTGTATAACGACTATAGTCTTTCTATACTCGTTGAAAGACAAAAACACGAATTTGAATTATTTGGGAAGGAAATCTTTGCTAAGTCTTTCATATCTCGAAAATACATTTACTTTTCCACTATCGTTTCAATGTATAAAATTGAATTAGAGTAAACCTAATGCAAGTTTTATTAATCTAATCGAAATCTAATAATTTGAACATAATATAATAGGTGACTCCTAGTTATTATCATTGCAACATATTGATGCGCCACCTTCGATGCGAAGAATTATTCCGAGGGTCTCAGGTAGAAAATATTTTTACCTGTATTGTCATTATTAGCAACCTTTACCACTTACATTATTCTAAAAAAAAACAACGAATCTTTATAATTACGCATAAAAAAATATATAGAAGTAATTCATTTTATAAACTTTTAAGAAACTTGTTAAAATTGCCGAAAATCTTTATTTTTTTTTATTAATAATTTTAAGTTCATCACATAAAGACATGTTTTCAATAAAATATTTCAAAAATTAAGCAAACGTTTGTCGCAAAATAATCTTTTATAATTGGTTCTTCAATCGTCTTTTTCATCATCATTATTATGCTCAAAGTTGCAACAAAACATCGTGCTGTAGGTAAAAAAAAAACTAATTGTAATTAGTACGTGTACATTTCAAAGAATTTAGAACTCAAATTCTCATAATAACTTAACGTTCGTCCGTATAAACATTTAACTTAATATCGATTATAGTTAATAACGAATTATTAATTAATATTGCATATTGAATTATTAATTGTTATAATCGTAAATAAATTATTGCATTAGAAAGAGAATAGTGTAAATGTTTGGAAATCTATCGGAACGCTCGATTAACGGTTAACCGCCATTTTGTTTTTCGACAAATGCATGCGATATTTTGTCACTGCCATAAAATCTAGTCACCTCTTTAAGATTTTCCAATAGAAATGATAATAATAATAATAATCTACTATATGAGAGAAATTATTATTTAGAATAATTAATAAATAATTACGTATTATTTAAAATATATAAATAATAATACAATTTTGTATAGTTTCAAATTAATATCGAAAACAATTATGATTAGAAATAAAACTTATTAATAAACAATTGAAGCAAAAATAACAAATGAATAATGATTATTAACAATTGTGATTAGTTTTGTTAAAGAATAACTCAATTGATAAATAAATAATATCAAGCATAACTACAAACTACAATCAATATAAATCGTGCTAATTATGTAGAATTGTAACTTGAGTTGCTTATTAAAGTGAATATCAATTATAATGCATTAATCGATGACTTTACAAACTATATATATTTACTGACTATAGTATAAACTGCGTTAATGTTATGTTAAGAACATGGAGATATTAAACGATTCTCTTAAAGTTTGATTTTAAAGTCAATACAATATAGTTTTAGTTTCATCGATAATTTGAAAAATATAAATTAATTACATAAGCGCATCTCCAAAAGAACATAATTAAATTTAAAGAGAAATATTTGATAATTAAAAATTAATAACAAAAATTACGAAATTTGAAAATACTAAAATAACAATATTTATTGTTACAAAATAATTGAAGATACATTTTTTTGAATGTATTTTGTACTATTCAGATTTGACAAATACAATTTAGTTATTATTGTTAATAATAATGGCTCGATATTATTTATATATATTTTTTTATGTTACTTAAGTATGTTTATTAAAATGTCTTTGGTAATTTGATTGTATAGTTTAATCATTTGTTTGAAATAAATGAATTTGAAAACAAAAGCGGCATTTGATAATGGCGAGATGCGTTAGTAATGGATGTATTGTTGTTGTTGTTGTTGTAATGTTGATGCAACATTTACTGTTGTGGTTGTGATCTGGTTGTTGTGTTTGATCTTTGCGAAGAGTTAAGAGAAGATCAAGTAAGTAAGAAAGGAAGCAAGTAAGTAAGGGAAGTGGTTTTATATGTTGCGAGTTGATTAGTGTGTATTTAAAGGCACTGCTCCTTTTCTACATTTGTAATTGGTCACGAGTTTCCCGCGCGCAACGTAGCCAAGCTCCGACAGGCCCGTCGATCGGGCCACGGAGCATCGACCGTTGTTGTTCGTACGCTCAGAGCCAGAGCTAGGGAGTGGTAGGTAGTCGAACGCCACCAATACACAACCAGTTTTGTGCATGCTGCGTCGCGACCATTGGTCTACAATTTGTCGACCAATCATTGAGAAAGTCCACACTAAAATATCCAATGTAAGTTCACAAATTATCAAACATATTCACTGGCGTACCCAGTTTGCATCCTTCAAATACAAACGAGACAACAAACGGAATTCGATAGAACCGAATCTACAACCGATATTAACCATCATGCAGCGATCAACTTTCTACAATGGCGTGAACCACAAACAAAGGTTTATTTCGAAAAGACCAAAAAAAAAAATGTGTGTATTTAATACCGCAACAGAAATTGCAGAAAATTTACGTGAAGAGACAACAACGAAATCTGATAACAACATCAGTTCTCGCAAACCATTAACAAATTATTTAATTACCATCTCGATCAATCCAAACACATGCCTGCATCTCTTAAACAACATTCAAAATAACCTTAATCTCTGACAACCCCTTTTTACATAACCAAGCCAAGTCCCTTCTATTTAATTACTATTACAAATATTTGTCTATTTCAGTGTAACAAGGGGCACAGTTGAGCTTCGGAACCATGGAGCAAATTACTGCGGATGGTCAGGTGGTGATGCAAACAGTGTCTGGTGTTGCACCTCAGCAAGTCCAGGTCATGCAGATGCCAGCAAATGGGCAAGTGATCCAGGGTGCGAATGGACAGCAGATCATGGTGCATACGATGCCACAGAATGGTCAGATACAAGTGGCGCAAGGTGCCAATGGACTTCAACAAATTCAAGTAGTGCCAGTGTCAAGTTTACAGGGACAGGGACAGATATTACTGCAGCAGCCCCAGCAGCAGACAGCGCAAATAGTTCAAACTGCAGATGGACAGACTTTTATTTATCAACCAGTGGCTATTGATGGTAGTGGAATACAGCAGTCTCAACCAACAGGTATTATTGTTACTCAACTCTTTGAAGAGCTCCATTCACACTCTTATCGTTTCAGTTTTGAATATCAATGGGAATTTAGTACAATTGCAAAGTGCACAGACTGCACCAGCGGCTACGACTGTAACACAGCCCACTGCAGTCACATCACCTAATGGCCAAACAGTTGTCCAGCATGTCGCAAACAGTTCCACCAATCAACTGGCCATGTCTAATGGAAACATAGTTATGGTGAGAAATGCAACGGATGTACGTAAACACACATTAACAAATATTAATGCTACTGCAAATACAAACAACTATAGAATTAATTAAACTTTAACATTTATACTCTTCATATGAGTTTTAACTAATATCTTGTTGATTGTATTAACTTAATATTTATTTTCAATCTTTAATTAATTTTATCTTATTTAGATGGTACCTGGCACCAGTGCATCAGTCTCAAGAGTACCTATAACCGGTACTGAATTCTGGGAAGAGGAACCCTTGTACGTTAATGCCAAGCAGTACAGAAGAATTTTAAAACGACGACAAGCTAGGGCGAAATTAGAAGCGGAGGGCAAAATACCTAAAGAACGACCTGTAAGTTTCTTGTAAAGATTTTTTATATATTTATCGAAATACTATACATTTATTTTAGAAATACCTCCATGAATCCAGACATAGGCATGCAATGAATAGAATACGTGGAGAAGGTGGTAGATTTCACTCAGGTTCTGTGAAGAAACGAAAACAAATGTTGCAGGAACAAGCAAGACAGCAGCAACAGCAGCAGCAACAATCATCACAGCAGCAGCAAACTCATCAGCAAAATATACAACGTTCTATGGTGTATAGTGGTCTAGAAAATACAATTATTATAGAGGTAAATATATACATTTAATGTTAGATAAATTCTAATAATTTATTGTGTTTTTTTCTTTCAGTCTGTGATGCCAGAAGTAATAACTGACCCATTGTCGTAATGTTATTCAAAGGATTGTAAATTTGTAAATATTTTCTTTTTAAGTTAATTAGCAATATTGTATATATATAATATAAAAATCTGTAACACTTTAGTATTTATATATTACTTTTTGGTATTTAAATATAGGACTGAAGGTAGGAAGGACGTAAGTCTCGATCTGAAAATTGTAACTTTGATATTTTTTTTTCTCGTTTTGTTCTCTTTATATTCAATTCAATTGCGAAGATATTGTATCTAGTTTGTTTTTTTTATATACACATATATATATATAATCTTTTGAGTTATATTCAGTTAATACCGATGATATCGAAATGTACAACATATTTTATATGCAAAAATCAGCACCAATATTCCATGGTTTATATTTAAGCTCATATATTTTGCTTTGAAAGTGAATAAAATATATTTATTTCATAAATATTCATTTCAACATCGCAACGACAAATCTATTTTCAAAGTACACACACACACATTACATATATATATAGATAGATATATTTAATAAATCGTTTATTATTTTCATATTCATAAATTGATTTTCATCAAAAACCCATCAAAACTCTACAAGAATTGTTAATTTAATTGATTGTTATTTTAACATGAAAATATTATGTTGCTTTTTATATAATAAATTCATATATTTTCATAATAACCTTATTAAGTAATTTTTATAATTATGCCTTTAAGAACATTTAAGAAATAGAAAAAGTTTTTATAACATGCATGGCTTAATGCAAAAAGTATAATTCTAAATCATATAAATACAAGAAAAGAAGGCGAGATGAGGCACGTAATTATTATTAAATTTATCTATAATATATTTATTATTTTATGTTGAAAATTTGCTGAAATATTAATGATATTGTAAAATGAAATTATGATTTTTGAATAGAGTAAATTTTGGATTTCTATCGCTACGTCGAACGTTTTATATTGGTAGCACTGATTAGGAGTAGCGGGTTATGTTAAGCAAATGGTGAGAGAACAGTTGGTTGAGGGCAGCGGCGGTTTGCGTTTTACCTTGTTTGCGATTTATTGGCTCAATAGTGAAATTATTGTTGTTCCCCCGTTTACCATCGTATCGCAGAATTTATCAGTTGTCCAGGGATTGCATGAAACTGCACAGTTTTCAAGTAAATCCAGCTTAAACTAAGAACCGGCAATTTTCAATTAAGGTAAATTTCTAGTATTCTTTGTATTTAGGGTGACACCCCTATTGGTAATGTACCCTCTCTCTACCCTGCATGAAACAGTCACATAAATATTATACTCACAGCCAGCTATACAATTACTATTGTATACAAACAACGCTCATCACACTAATCAATAATCATTATTTGGATGATATTAATTACTTCCTTTCTCATAAGTGGAGATTTAATTATTATTTTTTATCTTCAAATGTACTTGTTTGTATGATTCATCCCTATATATATATACATACATAGAGACACAATCTTATCAGAGCAAAATTGAATAGAATTCTCAGATGTGATATAATTTATTTATTTACTTAAAAAACAAGTTCATATGCTTAATACAATGAATATTAAGACAGATTCATATTTGTTTCCAGAATATATATAAATATGATTTTATATTTACATAGAATTTTGATAACTGTAATTACATGTATATATATATAATTTAAGCATTATATTATTTCCATTATTATTGCAGGATTTAATGTTCAGAGCATTATAATGGCGTGGAGATTCAAAGCATCAAAATACAAAAATGCTGCACCCATTGTACCAAAGCCTGAGACATATGTTAGAGATGTATGTGTTGGATCATATCAAACATATGGCAACAACATTGCTGCCTCTGCGAAATTCATGGCCTTCAATTGGGATCATGCTGGCTCCAGTTTAGCAGTGCTGCCCATCGATGATTCAGGAAGAAAATCCAAGCTGATGCCTTTGCTGCATGCCCATTCCGACACTGTGACGGACATGGATTTTTCACCATTCCACGACGGACTGCTGGCGACCGGCTCGCAAGACTGCCTAGTGAAAATTTGGCACATTCCAGAGGAGGGTCTGCAGGAATCATTGTCGAATTGCGAATGCACGTTCTCGCACAAGCAGCGGCGAGTGGAGACGGTCGGATTCCATCCGACCTCGAACTTCCTTTTGCATTCGACGTCGTTCACAACATTGACGCTGTGGGATTTGGTTTCGCAGCAGGAGCTTTTCTCCAATACCGATCATTCCGATGTCATACAATCGGTTAGTTGGAAGAAGGATGGCGCTCTTTTGGCTACCTCAAGCAAAGATAAGCAAGTGAGGATAATAGATCCCCGAGTCGAGAACTCGTGTATAAGCACCGCGAACAGCCATCAGAGCATAAAGGATTCGAGAATAGTCTGGCTGGGCGATAGCAATAGGATTTTGACGACCGGATTCGATTCGCAGAGGTTGCGACAGATCATCATCAGGGACGTCAGAAATCTCACCGAAACCGAGAAAACACTTGAATTGGATTGCTCTACTGGTATATTGATACCGCTGTACGATGCTGACACTGGAATGCTTTTCCTGGCAGGAAAAGGTAATGTATCGTAATTACGTTAATTAAAAATGAAATAATATACGATTTAAAATTACGAAATGAGTTCATATGAATAAACTATATGGCCTTATAGTTTTAACATAGAGAAAGTTGATTGCTTAACAAAATTGTTTAACTAAGATGCAAACACTGTGTTAACTGCAATATGTCAATGCCCTATTTAAAATATCACTAGAGTTTATATTGAAAACTGTTCATTAAAATAACGAAAATAATTGTAATGAATGCGTAACGAACGCATACATAAGTACATTACCGGAAACCCTTGATTTGATAGTAGCGGTCGTTTTCCGTCGTTGTAGATATTTCTATATTTTAGATTTAAGTTTTCATTGAAATAAAGTAACTGTATTTATGTTTATAGGCGATACAACAATTGGATATATGGAAGTAACGGATAAAGAACCGTACTTAATCGAGGGCATTCGACATTCGGGAGAACAAACGAAAGGTGCATGTTTGATTCCAAAGCGTGCTCTCAACGTGATGCAGGGTGAGGTGAATCGCATTATGCAACTAACAAGCAATTCCGTGATTCCAATCACATATCAAGTTCCTAGAAAAACTTACAGGTATGAAATACAACATGATACATTATTTACATCGATTACATTCGTAATGAACCATAGGGAATATCACGCTGACCTATATCCAGATACCAGCGGATATAGCACGGAACTAACCGCGGAGCAATGGTATCAAGGAAAAAATATTCCAGTTCCAAAGATTAGCCTTGACCCGGCTAAGCGCAAGAACGGCGACGAACCTATAGTGGTAGGTCTATCATTTTGAATATTACATGCATTTACTAATTTTCACAATTGCTTAGGTTCATAAAGGCAACCTGCAGCTTTTGATACAAGAATGTAAAACTGAAAAAACGTCGGAAAAAACGCCGAAGGCCAACGACGCTCAGTTACAGCAAGCGAATAAAAACGAATCGAACAATCCAGTAAAGGAAAAGGTCAAAGATATTGAAAAAGAAAAGGTATTTAACGCTAACATACTGCTTAAAAATAATACGGAAAACATTAACGGCCAGTCGAAGCGGCAAGAGGCAGCGGAAATTTTGCCCCCGAAACCTTTACCGAGAACTTCGCGTACTGGTTCCATATGCGAACTCGAGGAACCAATACCTAAACCTGTAGCGAGACCGCGTACTAACAGTTGCGCTCCGATTGTCACTTCGGTTAATCCTAACATGCCCATCTCCGGGGGATATAAGGTGCTTCTATTTCAATGTTTTAACAGAATTTTATTTGATGTGTCGCTTTGGAAGAATACAAGCAATTTGCATGATTTTGTTGTTACACCTTCAAAAAGAAAAAAAAAACAATATTTGCATGATGTAGATGTTCTTGTTTATATTCGATGTTTTCCCCCCATTTGTATTAAAGTATTGATATTTTTATGTACTTTAATACATTTGTTGCATGTTTCTCTCACTCACGGAATAATCTCTAGTGATTGCAATACCGGGCGAATTAATCTAAAGAATAATTAAGTTTTATATTTGTATAACATTACAGTACATTTTGTTTTATGTGAAAACTAGGCTCAATAACCGTTTTAAAAACATAATGCAAATACTCGATGAATGCTTCAACGGATTTACTGTTTTCACACCATCTTTATGTGCATAAATCGCATTCTCAGCTCTACCGGTATTGCAATTTTCGAGTAAATTATTTTTATAATTTGTGATTAAAATTTACCACGTACATATTACTGGATTAATTGCTCCAACAACAATGTAATGATTTTAAGAATTTCATTATTTCCAATCTGTATGTAAAACTTATTTGCAAAACTATTTTGTTAGCCACGTCTTGGACCAAAACCATTCACAGCTCCAAAATTCACGGAAAGTGAAAGCTTCGATAAAATTTTCTCGGTGCCAGCTGCGCCTGGCTCAAACGGTATACACGAGGAGACCAGTTCCGAAATTGAGAACGTGGAAAATGAACAACAAGCAGCCTTGTCAGAAGAACCAAAAGACGTCTCCGATAAACCGAAAACACCTAGCACTGCGGAACGTAGGAAGCTCTTCGAAAGCGGTTCTAAGGACAACGACGATGACAGTTTGGATAATGAACTCGCTGGTAATTTCGAAAGGACCAAAAGTATAGCGGAACGTCGTAAAATTTACGAAAGATCGCAATCGAATCAGGAGACTAGCGGAAATGTACCCGAGAAAAGCGAGGGAAGTCCGATTATGATGAGAAGGAAGGATTCTTTTAAGAACAGAAAAAATACGGAATCTTTGAAGGAAGATAATCGAAAAAGTGCCCCGATTACCAAGCAACAGAGCTTGGAACCAATTGCTGCCAAGAAGGTTGAAAATCCACCAGCACCAAAGAGAACGTCAACAGTGTTTGGTAAATATTTAAACATAATCGATTGGTTCATTTTAATTTGACTTTAACAAAATTGCAGGACGTGTATCTAAATTCAGGCATTTGAAGGGAACTCCGGCTCACAAGTCTATGCATATAGAAAATATAAGGAATTTAAGTAGACAGATCCCTGGAGAGTGTGATGGTTTTCATGGTAATTTTTTATTAATATTATTATGTGGATCTGCATTTTTATAATTGTATTCGTTCACAGCGAATCCGGAGAGAGTTGCTGTGCCGTTGAGTGGACCCGGCGGTAAAATTGCTATCTTCGAGTTGAAAAAAACTGGTCGCTTGCCAGATGGCGTTATACCGGCTTTGGTGCACGGTAACAATATCATGGATTTCCAGTGGGATCCCTTTGAAAACAGGCGTCTGGCTGTAGCCTGCGACGATGGTGTCGTCAAACTGTGGATGATACCGGAAAATGGATTGGTTGAGCCAACAAACGAGGCTGAGAGCGAGTTCAACGCGCATCTCGATAAAATCTACTTCATTAAATTCCATCCCACTGCTAAAGATGTGTTGGCTACGGGATCTTTTGATATGACCATAAAAATATGGGATTTAAGTACTTTAACTGAAAAGTACGTTTTGAGGGATCATGTGGATCAGATGTTTAGCTTTGCATGGTCGCCATGCGGTTCGTTCTGCTCGACTGTGAGCAAAGACGGTAAGATAAGAGTATACAAACCCAGAAACAGTGAAACTCCCGTCAGAGAAGGGAAAGGGCCGGTCGGCAATCGGGGTGCTCGTATAATCTGGGCTCTCGATGGGAATTTCATTGTTGTAATGGGTTTTGATAAAGTTTCTGAAAGGCAGATTATGGTTTTCAACGCAAACGATTTGAACAATCCTTTGAACACTATTGGATTGGACGTATCTCCAGCTATATTAATACCATCTTACGATGAAGATAGTTCCACGTTGTTTTTAACCGGAAAGGTATGTCAGATATTTACATTTCCCTCTATTTGGTCATCCTCTAAATTTAATATTTATTTTACAGGGTGATTCCACTATTTACGCCTTTGAAATTACCGAAGAAACACCATACATTTGTCATTTGAGCCATCATCGTTCCAACAATTTACACCAAGGCTTATCATTTTTACCTAAAAATGTTTGCGACGTTTCCGTTGTTGAATTCGCGAAAGCCTTAAGACTAACAAATAATTCGATTGAACCTTTATCGTTTACTGTTCCGCGTATCAAGGTAAGTAATTAACATAAATGTATGAATTAGAAATTGTAAATTTTGCTTTCTTTTAGACGGACCTGTTTCAAGATGATTTGTTCCCACCAACAAGAATAACATGGAAGCCCACTGTCACAAGTGCCGAATGGTTCTCTGGCAAAGACAAGGCTGTTCAGAGAATAAGTTTGAAACCAGAAGGGATGGATTTATGTACGCACTCAATATCTATTTGACTTTAACATCGTTACTACATCAATTGACCTTTGCTTTCAGTATCCGAGTCTCAGGGACAACCGAACTCCACTTCGGAAAAGACAATAAATAAATTAGCAAATCAAACTCAGAACAGTGGTTATCAGCCTTACAATAGATTAGGCTGGAATGCTGACATGTCTGGGCAAACTAAAACCAAACAGGACGAGGTATGATTGTTTACCATACATACTACGGCTTACTGGGCGCGGGGATCTATTTAATAAGACTAATTGTACTTTTATTTGATAAGTTTTATAATTTCTTTTTTTCTTTTTTATTGGCTTAGATTTCAAAATCTGTAAGTAGTCGTTTGGAGGTAAATTTGAAACTGGAACAAGACGATATGGAAGGTGTAGATGAGAATGAATGGGACGAGTAAGTTCGCATAAACAAAACGAAAATCACAATCAAATAACCTTTTAAGTTCAGCAGTAATTTCCAAGTTTGCTCATACAATAATTGATAATATCATTCATTCATTAATTTCCCATTAACTAGATATGCTGGCAAGAATCAACATGAATAACACTCTTTTTTTTTATTATTATACTAATGTATAATCAAATCAATATGATATTGAAATTTTCTTGATAATCTATATTTATAATATTTTTATATTACGACTAATCTAGTCTATGCTTTAATAACAATTTAAATAATGTAATTATACATTTTTATATATGTTTTTTTTTTTGTAACTTTAAAATGCGAAAAGTGATATTTTGCCATAGACATTCCTCCAGGTAGTAGAGTATCCAGTGCCAAACCTTAAGAGAAAGCAAAAAAACACCACAACAAAGATAAAACCCCATCTTTTCTACGAAACAAACAAACAAAAAAAAGTAAAGAAATTGAATGAAGCTCAAATTTTTGAAAATTTTCTAACCTTTTATTTAGTCATTTTAGTGCTACATATTTATTACTATATATATTCCATGTAATTAGTGATAATTTATATTTATTTTAAATTTACATACTTTTTATTTGCTGTGACGTAATTTGGTAAAATATGTATTGTAACCTTTTTATTAATGTCATTGTGTATGAAATATAAGTATTTGTATAAACCGTAAGCGTCTACATTCCTCGATACTTATCCAACTTGTATATTTTGACTACAATTAATCATCTCGTTTGCAAAGCTTATGAGTTGCTCAAAATTATTTTCATTTTAGTTTGTTTATGTTCATAAACCATTCATTTCCACTGATAATGTTTTATATTTTGTCCGAGATTTGTTTCAGCCATCCTTGTATACATGGACGTTTTTACTAGAAATTGATTCGCTTATTCTCTATCCCTAGCAAACGCAAATTTGTGGGACGAAGAATGCAGTATACTACAAAATCAAAGTAAATTATCAACATATAATTAAATTACAGTGGAACCTCGCATAACGAGTAAAAATGACTCGCTTAACGGGCGACGTTTCGCTTAACGAGTGACGATGAGAAGAGAAGTCTTGGATTGCGCGCCTGCTAGATCTTTTTTAAAACTTTATGTCGTTTATTATCAATTAAAGAAGATTATCCACATCCATACTTTTTAAACGTTTTCCACTATTATCGATACATTTTTAACTCACTAATATCAAATTTTGGCTCTATTAGTATTTACTTTCAATTTAACAAAACAAATCTTATAATTTTGTAGTTTCTTGAAACATTTAAAAATAATTTTTGTATCTTAATTATGTAAATATAAATTTAAAACTATCCAGCGCCAACTAGTGATGGTAACGTAGAGTCAATGGTGATTGGGTGATGTCTTTTTTTGGATAGGCAACCTAAAAGCAACGTCATCATTGATCATCAAACCATCCGCAACAATTTTGCTGGTAAACTTTAGTTTAATGCGTATTGGAACAACGAAATTCTAGTCAGTACTCAAAGTGATTGTTGATTGCATTCAAGTATTGTTAGAAAAAACCTAGATAAAACAATTTAATTCGATAATGGCGTAAGTTATTAAGTTGTTGTTCGCAACATATGGACGTTAAAATGTTAACATAATATGTTTTAGGTCTAAAGTAACATTCAAGATCACCTTAACATCAGATCCGAAACTTCCATTCAAAGTGTAAGTAATTTCAACATCAACAATACATCATTGCACTCATCACGTATAAGCTTAAAAAGGATCTCGAAAGTTAGGTTCAGTCCAACAGGATCAGTTAATATTATTGCAAAAGCAAAATGTCCCACGGTGATGAATTAGTGGAACAAGTGTTAGATACCATTTACTGTTTTGTTAAACTTCATGAAACTGATGCATGGTTAAAAAACATATCCAACGCAGACATTATAAAATCATTCAAGTGTTCGTTGTTTGTGGAGAAAGCGATTGAGAAATGTAAAAGTGAACATTCTGAGCAGACTCTAATGAGGTCACTTCAGTTGAAATGCCAAGGAAATTTTAAAATTTATGAAATACATTTTTTCGAGAAGGCTGCAGATCATATACTTAAGAAAATGATAAATTCAACTGTAATAAATGAAGTGAGTGCAGATGTGGCTCTTAGAGTGTACTCATCTATGTTCTCCCAAACTCGTTTAGAAAACATATTATTTGATTGCTTACTAAAGTCTGTTTCATACAATAGCATAATGAATTACATTGTCCAAGAGAATAATAACATCAATGTAGATAATTTAGAGATTAAACTTTTGTATAACTCATGGCATCAGCAGGTTATTGTAGGTAATTCAGCTAGTGTTGAGAATATTGTTAAGATTATGTTAAATTCATATCAGATAGATAGGGAATTAAAGATATTGTTTAGTATTTTGTTGGTGGATGATCTAAATAAGGATATTAAAGATATCATAAAGCAAGAACTGGATTTTGTTCTCAGAGATAGAAGTATTCTTAGTAAGAAATATTGGGTTGTCTTGATAAAATCATTAGATGTCCATCTTTTGCTTAAAGTATGTGCAAGTCATCAGGACTTACTGAAATCAATACTGAATATAATTGTGTACTTACTGTGTATGTTGATCTGCGAGGATAATCGATGGGTCATGAGTACAAACATTGAATGTTCAGAGATTTGTTATTTTGATCTAATTAGAAGGTTGAAATCGTTGCATGACCATGCGTTTACGCAGAAAATTGTTAAATGTACAATTGATGAAGCCCAAAGGAATATCGGTACACCAATTTGGTGCCAGATTCAGGCTGTCGTTGATTTATAATATATACGTTTTGTTCATAATTTTTACAAAATAAACATAAAATGTGTTCTTTTAGTTTGAGTGTTCCTGAAAATACTCCCTTCACAGCAGTATTAAAATTCGCCGCTGAAGAATTTAAAGTGCCCGCAGCTACTTCCGCTATTATTACCGATGATGGTGTGGGCATTAACCCTCAGCAGACTGCCGGTAAGTTCAGATTATTTACCAATAAGACTTTACAGTTATGTAATACGTATATATATTTTAGGAAACATATTTTTGAAACATGGATCCGAGTTGCGTTTAATTCCTAGAGATCGTGTAGGTTATTGTTAGTTAATAGATATTTTTATAATAAATTAATAACATTATTCTATTAATAATACTGTTGAAATTATATTTATTTATGAAACGCGAACAAAAAAAATGCATTAATTTTAATATATTTTTGGAGTCTTAATAATACCAAACAAAATGACACGAAAATACCTAATTCGAAATTGACCTAATAAACTCCAGAAAGTGAATTTAGTAAATGGATAATTCTAATTTGTATAGGAAAATGAAACATATAAAATTAGTTGGAAAATTTATTAAAATGATGGTTGACATTTGAAAAAATAAATAAGCAGAGATATACCTGCCATTTTAAAGCATACCAGAGGCTACAGGTTTTACAAATTAAAAATTATATATTGTGCTGGTATCTCGAACGAATGATAACAAATACGAAATTTTAACACAATAATGGCATAGAAAGGAGAACATAACCCAGCCAGCACAATAATCCTTTTTAACTTTCAAATGTGCATATTATAAACGTAATGAGAGAAATCGGTATACTAATAAAAAGTTTATTTAGTCACGTTTATTTGAAAATCTTGCCCTGGTTGAACTTCCTGTTGCCCTTATCAGTACCGGTCCACGAGAAGTATTGCTTCACCAAATTCTTGGTCTCTTCGGTAGATGGGTCCAATTTCTTCCAGTCGTAGACTTCGTAATCTATCTGCCAGTCTGGGCACAGATTGAAGGCTAATTCCTGGCCTCTCCATACCCAAATACCCGAAATGGTGCTGTTGTTGTCTTCACCGAACAAGCAGACGGATGCGAAAGCCTGTTTACGCATTTTGTCTAACCTTTGGAACATGCCAGTAATAAGGTTGCAACTCATGAACGCCTTTGATAATTCCTCGTTGTACTTGTATTCGCCCATCCAGATGGAATAGTTTTCAGAATCGAATTTCTCCCAGAAGTAAGGAACTGAAACGGACTCGTCCTCGTTGGAATAACAACGTTTGTAGTCATCCATGTTGAAGGTTCCTTTTGGTAGGGAATCGAAGGGATCCTTGTTCTTGGGTTCCATGGCCAAAGCTTCATCAGCAAGGTCCAATTCAACTTCTGGTTCCTTCTCCTTCTTGGGTTGTGGTTTCTTCTGCTCTTTCTTTTCTTCTTTCTTCTGTTCCTTCTTGGTGTCCTTGCCCTTGCCTACAGAACAAATAATCCATTAGAAATAATCTCCCACACTCATTATAAATCTACACTAATACATCTCAGCAATATACCTACTTTTGTTTTTCTTTTTATTGCTTTTACTACTTTCGTTTTTGTTATTATTATGCTCCAATGCAGCTTGTAAATATAAATCAATATTTATTTAAAATACAAGTGTTTAATTGATGACTTCTAAGTGCAGAAATGCAGGAAATGAGACATACCTTGTTGTTGTTGGAATTTCTTTGGGTCAACTTCAGCAACCTTATCGCACAACTTGGTTTCTCCAGCTACAGCCTTGAACTGAGGTTGGTTAACAACGGTGGTGAACCAACGGGTTACGTGGATGAACGGTTTGCGGAATTCTGGGTCCAAAACCTTTGTGTACACATAGAGCATGGTGCATGCCATACTGATGTCAGCCAATGTAATGCGTTCACCGACAAGGAAAGTTTTGGTCCTCAAATGGGTGTTGAGAACATTCAAAGCAACCTTGATGTCTTCCTTGGCCTTTTCAAAGCTCTGCAATTTATTAAACATTTAGTAAAATGAAATAAATTAATAGTAACAATACATACATCAATTATATGTACTATATACAATCGTTTTTTTATATCATATTACTCTCTTTAACTATGAATTGATGTGAGTTATCAAATAAATAAATATTAGAAATTGTATGAAACTTACAACTTTGTTGTATGGCATAATTCCCAAGATTGGGAAAACCCAAGCACAGGCAGATGGCAAGATTTCATTGTCAGCAAAACCTAACCATTGAAGAACCTCAGACTTTTCGAAGTCAGTGTTTCCACGAAGCTGTTGGTTGGAAACATAGTAAGCAATAGCATTGCTGTCATTCAAGAACTTTCCACAGGAAGTTTCAAATGCCGGAACCTAAAAACAATACATATCAATTAAGAACATATGGATGGACTTTTTGGGAAGATCATTTTTTTATGCCTTGTAGACAAGAAAAAAAAATTAGAGAAAATTTGTAAGATGTTGAATGAAAACTTAATACTGTTGCTAAGTTGTTACCTTTCCACTTGGAAATTTCTTCAAGAAAGCTTCAGTTTTGTTGGTCTCCCCAAAAACAAAGTTGGTTGCAACTTTGACGTTGGCAGATGAATATTGAGCAGCGACCAATGCCTTGTAGGCACGGAAGTTTTCGGGGTACGTGTAAAGAGTCTGCAAAAAAATAAGGTGAAAATAGGGAAAATCACTTCGCGCTGATGATTATTCTCAAAAAATCTTCAAGGATTATTCACAATTCCGAAAGATATTCGAAGATTTTCTTGAGATACTCACTCCGGCGGCCATCTCTGTAAACTCTGACAGACAGAAAGGAAGTGGGACGGTGAAACGCAGATTATCACAGCGTTTTATGCTACTTTTGACAGTTTTGACGTTTAAACTAGCGACATCTGTGGTAAACAAAACGCCCAGAGTCATCTGTGTCAACAAAATGTAAATCGAGTCGTCAGTGTCGTAACCATTGAATAATCCAATTGGAAATATTAAATAAAATAATTTTGAAGCGTTAAACTTGACTATATACAAATTGATGTTAATAAATGGCTTTAAATATTGAATAAACTTTGTAACATAAATAATGTGTTTAGAGTTAATGTTGCAATAAATAAAATATAATACAATTTATTAAATTCCAATCATAAAAATTATATGCACGCCACTGTTTATAAATTCTAATCATTTATACTCTGTTTATGTAATTGCAAGTTAGCTTTGAAATTCGAAATTTATATAGGAATTTTATGATACAGATGATGAAAGCTTATACTGTGCCTAATAAACCATTAACAGGAATTTGCATATGACATTCTGGCAATGCTCGTCATATACGTATAAAAAAAATGTTTACATAAATCTTGTTTAATTCTGTTGAATTGATTTAAGCTATATTTAATTAGTTGAGGTTTAATTAGAGATATTTCTAATTAATTTTGGAGAAAAAAATGTAATGCGCATGCGCAATTCACTATGTAAAATAGTTGGTTGACATATCTAATAGTTGTCTTGCGCAGTTTTGCTATAAGTTGACAAAATTGCGTAGGTCATTAATTAGTTTAATTAAGTGGTGGCATAGATTTAATTGATTAAAAGCAACAGCAGGAGAATCTTGTTCTAATATTACCATTTGTATACAAAATTTAAGAGAATGATGTGATTAAAATTTTGCTATAGTAAGTGTACATTTGAAGAGAAGATTTGTCTAATGTTTATTGTTAGAAATAACTTCATTTTAAGTTTCAACAAAGTAAACAGCAGTTTTCTTATTAGAAGCAAATGCTCAATGGATTTCAAAGGTTCGATGGATGCACATATATCGTTTGGTGAATATTGTTTTATTTGAATTGTATATTTGAATGCAGGAAGATATAGTTATGGCAATCAGAGAGGAAGATCTGGAGGAAGCCAGGAAGAAAGGCCTGAAAAGTATAGTACAAAAGTTTTGAATCCCTATGCCACAATATTTTATTCGTCTGTGCAAAATCCG